AAATCTCCAATAATGCGGATCTGGCCATACTTAGGCAGAGGTAGAGAGAGCATTCTGAGAATTCAGAGAGAAAATTGCCTTTGGGTTTGGGAGGCCGGCAGACTAGGAATGAAATAAGAGGATGCTTGTTGAAAGCAACATTTTGTTGCTTTCAAATCAGGCAAATTCCCCATATGAGACAGGCTTATAGAACCAACCAGGAAGCAATTGTCGGTATCAACATTATTGCTTCCCAAAGTCTTGATTTTCAAAACAGGGCCAGTGGTTCTGTCATAAGTCCCAGTTTTAGGCACTACTACTGTATAAGCGTAAAAATAGCAGAATCCTAAAACATTTTAGTGAAGACAAAGGCTATGACAACATATTTTTACACAGACATTCAGTGTAAAAATTCAGAACTGATAATCACTTCCCCTTTAAAATTGGTAACAAAACATATCATATATACAGTACATACTAGTTTATTTAGAGAGGGCTGAACTCTTAAAATAGCTGCCTTCTGTAATCACTTATAGACACTCAGTGAAGTACAGAGAACACAGTGGACACACTTGAAGTAGCACACACACGCGCACACAAACAATGCTTTGCACAACCAGGACCTCAGAAATGGCACATTGCCTTATTCGGTCTGGGCTTGGGTCCCCATGAGGTCTGTTGGTCCTGACAATGTCGGTTTCCACACCATTGTTCCCCCCAGTACAGCAGAGGAGAGGAGTTGGGTTTCCAGCTCCAATAGAGGAGCAAAATTACCAACTGATCCGTTAGTGAGCAGTTTATAGACTTACAGGGTAACAGTGCTATGAGGTAATAGCTCATGGCATTGCTGTTTGGTTTCTCTCTGCTGCTTACTCCAACATACCTAAGCAAACCCAAAAGCAGGTATCCAAGTAACTGTTCATAAAGGGCCATCAGGAGTGGGTGGGCAGCTAGTAATTAGTGTAATGGCCCTAGGTATACTGATACAGGAGCTTCTTTCTATGGCTGGCTTTGTTTGCTCCTCTTGTTTTTCATCAGTGTTTTAATGGTGCTGGACTCTCCTTCCAGACCTCTGCTCAGGTATTGTTTTCACTTGCTACCTAAGCAACATCATATTTTCCACTTAGTGACAATATTAATGGGTAACTATCAGCATATCTCATAGCTGATACACAGTGGCTTAGATAGTATTCAGTGTTCTCAGCTGCAGGGACAGGGAGACCTGACACATCCACACAAATATGTTTTTTTATTTTAAAACTGAAATTATTTCCATGCAGATGACCATTTTATCTCTGTATCAGAAATAATTTCTACCAATAACAACACACCTGAAAACACATATCATATGACCATTCATGTACACTAAACATGTGAGTGTTAGTGTAAACAGGATGCATATTGTGTACATCACAGCTGGTTGCCAAGTTGCAAAAAATGTGTCCGTACTAAAACTCAATTAAGTACAACAAAGGTACTTGAATCTGAAGATTTTCTTTACAAACCCACAAAACAGTTCACCATTTACATTTGGCGCGTTACGTTCAGGCTTTTATAGCGGAACAAGAAGCAGACACACTGGCTGAGTTTGCATGAGTTTCTCAGATAAAGAGAAGCAGATGGAGCAGGGGGCAGGCAGGTGCAGGTGTGGAGTAAATAGCTGGTGGCTTCAATGTGGCTGGTGTGGAGATCCTGGAATCAGGGAGACAAAGAATTAGTTGGTTCACAGGTAACAAGTTAGATAAGCTAGAGATATTTCTAGAAACATAGAGAGGCCGAGAGCATAGCTGCCAGGCATTGGCACCAGTCGTGGAGGATCATCAAGAGTATACAGAGTCACGGGGAAACAAGGAGTCATAGCTGAGCCATGACATTGCTGTTTGTTATTCTGCTATTATTACAATAATTATTTCTTTTATTTGTTTAGCTTACTTCATATTATGTGTTATTTTCAATGTGAACTGTGGACAAATAAACTTGCTTATCATTTTTTATATGATTGCATTTTGTGGTTTGATTGTGTGGTTTGTTCACTGTAAGAGTCACAGTAAGCACACAATTTAATTACCTCACTCTGACTCTCAGCACAGCACTGATGGCTTCTGGAAGTCGGTGGCCAGACACGTGCCAAGGGAGCCCAGCGACATGCGCATCCTGAACCCCTACTTCATTCAAGAGGCCTCCTTCAAGCTGATTGGCTTACCTTACAACAATGGACAGATGGGCAGAGGGGTGAGAGCCGGTTTCTTTTCAGTTTGAGGTAGAGGAGTAGTAGGAATGGTGAACTGTTGAGTTAATGGTTGGGGCTGGAGCTGTGGGAGCGGACTCTCCAGTCTGTCTGTTTGCATTATGAAGGCATCTGTGAACACACAGCAGATGCTGCAGGGACCTGAGCACCTACGCAAGGCCTGAAAACAAACAGCATCACTATTAGCTTGTTATAAATATAACCATGCCTCAGAGTTCACATCTGTAAGATATCCATACAATAACAGTAAAATGTATATAAGCCTCCTCTGCTGTACTTTCACATGCTCACTACATACTATAAGTGTCCTGGGATACAGGTCATGGTTGGGTTACCTGTTTCAACCATCTCTTTAATTTACACTATTTCTGTTTTTCAGAATATCCCAACCCTGGGGACAGTTGCCATAACAATGGCCCTTCATAACTGTGATGAAGTAGCCGTGGCTGGATTTGGCTACAACATGAGCACTCCCCATGCCCCTTTGCACTACTATGAGAAGATTAGGATGTCAGCCATCAAAGAGGTACATTAAGACCCGATTAGTTAAAGAGACAGTTCTTATCAATTTAAGTGGGGTTGAGCAATGAACTACTGTCGACAGGGTGTGGGCAAGGTTATCATGTTTGTTGATTACAAACTGTCATGTAACCTGGCTTACAGAGCTCAGTTCACAGTGTATTTAGAATTTAGTAATGATTCATGAACAAAGGTAAGATACATTTATTACTATCATGTCAGCAGCAGCTTTTAACTAAGCACTTTATATGCAGAGAACCCTACACTACTCTACACACTAGCAGCCACCAGACTATATATCCGCAGTGATCATAACATTAGTGGACTCTGTTCACATCTTGAGTAGTGTAGCTTACTGGATTTACACTGTGAGTATATAAACCTTCTATTGGCTGTACATTTCTACTCATATCCCTTTATATCTACTCCCTCCGCTGTCTGCTTTCCACACCCCCATATTGTTTAGCAATACCAATATTTTTACCAAATTTCGCGATTGTGGAGATCAGGAGAAAAGCAGCAATGGCAGATAAACGAACAGATTACTCCTGGCTTAACAGGCAATAAGGTCCACGTTATAGTCACAGTGTTCTCACATAGCTGTTTCAATGACCAAGGATTAATTTGTGCATTTTGATTCAAATCAAAACGCACAACTATCCACTGAGCTCACCCTGTCAGCCAAATGACTAATTGTTTACTGTGGCAGTAAACAAAAGAACAAAAGCGCAGTGATGTGCACATAAACCTGTTCACCAACAGGCACCACACATCAAACCACAAAACCTGCACCACAGAAAACCTCTACTACCAGGTTATCTTAGTCCATTATTGTGTAAATCCAGATATTACATTTTACTGATTTAATCAGGCTACTATGCACTAAAACGAATCAAATATTCTCTACATTGAACAAAGTGAACTGCACACCAGTTACCAAATTCCAGAGCGGTAAAAGCACACTTTGAAAACAAACCAATAAAGTAAAAAATAAACCAATCAGAGTGCAATCTCCCATTTCTTTTAAAAGCCAGGTTGAGCTTGCACCTTGGCCTTCAAATATTATTGAACCACTGACTTCAGACCAGGTAGCAACAATGTGCCAATACCAAACCAAGTTGATAATATTTAAATCATGAAAAATGGCAACTATGTTGTTCTAAAACTAGCAACAATAGCATTGAGCTGGGTTTGCTAGGTGTAAGACCTTTTGTAAGTCAAGCTCATATATAAGAAATCAAAAATCTCCTTGGTGTTTGCTTTGACACGTTTACTTACTTATTTACTACTTACTTATGTGGGCGGCTGTGGCTGAGGGGTAGAGCCTTGTAGATAGATTGTTTTATTTGTCACATACACAATCATACACAGTACAATGCGCAGTGAAGTTGTTTTTGTTCCTGCTACCAGAATAGTAATACATTTAAATACAAAGAAAATAAAGACTAGAACTCAAAAAACTTAAAACTAAAAAGAATTTAGAAGTATTTAAAAAAAAAGTGTTAAAAAGGTTATTTTTGCCTTAATGCTATAAAGTGTCCACGAATAATAATAATAAATATTAACATTTGAAATTTACAGTATTGAATATAAACATGTGAAATTTACAATATTGCAATATAAACAGTATTACAGTGAAGGTGATTGAAATAGTCCAGTTCAATGCTCACTGTTGAGCAGACGGATGGTCTGTGGGAAGAAGCTTTTCCTCATTCTCTCAGTGTTGGTTCTCAGGCAACGGAACCGACGGCCTGATGGCAGCAGGGAGAGGAGTGAGTGGTGGGGCTGCTTCAGGATCCTCTCAGCTCTCGACCGGCATTGTTTGGTGTAAATGTCCTGCAGGTCGGGTAGAGTTGTTCTGATAGTCCGCCCGGCTGAGCGGACCACCCTTCTAAGGGCCAAGAGGTCCTGTTTCTTGCAGCTGCCCATCCATGTGGTGATGCTCCCACTCAAGATGCTCTCGATGGTGCAGGTGTAAAAGTTCCTGAGCACCTTGAGGGGAAGCCTGAAATCTCTGAGGTGGAACAGACGCTGCCTGGCCTTTTTAACAGTCCTGTCCACATGCAGTGACCAGGACAGGTCCTGTGTGATGGTTACACCGAGGTATTTAAAACTGTTCACCCTCTCTACCTGTGTGGACCCACCTACACAGGGAGGAGTTCAGTCCAAGATCACACAGCTTAGTGACCAGCCTGGAGGGGACTATGGTGTTGAATGCTGAGCTGTAGTCCACAAACAGCACTCTCACATAGTTCCCCATCCTAGTGTCCACGTGGGAAAGTGTCTTGTGTAGCATGAAGGTTATGGCGTCGTCGGTGGATCTGTCTGGGCGGTATGCGAACTGAAGAGGGTCCAGGGCGGGGGGCAGAGAGGAGGTGATGACACCCAGTTTAAGATTGAAGTTGCAAAATTACAGATTCTTCAGTTCAGGCAGCAAAGATAAAACTTACAACATAAGAATCATTATTGTGAGAGCATTATTAAGTATTAATTAGTCACTGTTAAGCTAGAAGCCCTGTAGCACTGGATCAGATTTATGAAAACATAATCATTTACTGATTCTAGGGAGGAAAAAGATTAATCCCACTGAATATAGATATATCTGCATTGTATGTGTGTACAAGTGTCGTAAAGCTTCATACAGCTTTACACTTGTCATGGAACTTAAGTTACTTATTATTGAAGTAGCTAAACAGTAAAACTGTGCTCCAGAGCAAACTGACCGACCAAACAACCTCATTAGCCTTAGCACTGCCTTTCAGATCCTGAAATATGGTATGTGGTCCAGTGTCTGTGATACTGCACCATTTATTCTCAGCTTGTTTGAATACAAAAGTTATGTTCCTGTGAACTGAATCAAGATGGCTGCGCGTTTGCGAACATTTTTTGTATTTACTTTACCTTTTTTATTGTAAATGCTGCTCATCATAATCGTAACTGCTGCTATCTTTAACTGCTATTTACTATATCCTATAGATATATATTACGTTACTTGCCATGAAGTATTTTTGCACTATCAATCCAGTGCACTATTCTGGATTTTACTACTCTCATCCTATCCACCATGTGCCTTTTGACTGCATGCTATATTGTACTAAGTACTATGTTTTGAGTACTTATATGTTGCGTGTTTATATGCTCTCTCTACTTCATCAGCAAGAAATGGCATTTCAATCCCATCTATATCCTGTACATTGTTACAGATCCTGAGGTACCTGGGAAAACAAAGTTAGTTGCGTGCACAAAAACAAGCAAGGAGGTTCTTTCCTTAGAAAACACTAAGTGTGGCTGAGAGTATGTACCACAGGAGTGACTGTAACAATCTGGTGTTGAGTGGAGGAGAGACCAGGGTTCTTGTAGAGCTGGTGATGAGGATGATTGAAGCCAGGTGTGGGACTCAGGCCAGGTGCCAGGAATAGAGACCGCACCCACGCGCACACACACACACACACACACACACACACACACACACACACACAGGAGGAAAGGAGGAGGGACACACCATGGAAACGGCCAGAGCCATGACATACAAAGCAGAATTGACAGTAAAGTTGACTTTGTCTTTGACTGAAGTCCAGGGGATGGGAGAAGTTTCATTAAAAGTAAACCAAGCAAAACAAACACACAGCACGAGGGCCGTAACAAAAAATGATAATTTTAAATGAAATGTAATATTAAATGTGTGAGAAATATGCTCTGTGATGTCTACAGCAAACCCCCTCTCCTGTGTTTGTTTGTATTTGTGTGTGTCCCCTCTGCAGTCCTGGACTCACAACATATCTAAAGAGAAGGAGTTCCTGTTGAAGCTGGTGAAGGCTGGGGTCATCCAGGACTGGACCAGTGGGATCTGTGGTGCAGGATGCTGATGGTCTGAATTCCCCCACCAACATGTGCTCCAACACCTGAAGAGGGAAACTCAAGGCTCCTTTGGCCACATTCCCAGCAGAGAGCAGCTGTCACACAGCATGGTCAAAGCAGAAAGAGCATGTTCTGACCAGGACACCCTGCCCAGTGTTGAACTTTCACATACAGTATTGCAAATTGGTCTCTCTGCATTGTAACACAGTATTTAGCTTGTCAGCGTTGCAGGTTAGTGTATATAATATAATATATATATAAGCACCTGGACCAGGCTGCCCTGGTGTTGTGTTTAAACACAGAGCCCGTGCCAAGAGAATACCTCTTCAAGTGTCCTTCTGCTCACACAGCTGAATGTATTCTGCATCAAACCTATAGTTGCTCATTTGTATCTTCATCAACCCTTATGTCACTGATTTATATCTGATTCAGGGTGCACTCTACATGACACATGTCAGCGCTGATGGACCAGTCTCTGACGTCAGAGCGACATGGCAACCATCAACCATCACAGTCAATGTTAAGCAAGAGATCTGGGGAGCACGAGCCAATAAGAGTTCAATCAGCAGCAGCATGGATATCACATTTAAACTCACTGTAGCAGAAGAGACACATTTACTGTTCTTGTGAGACCCCCCACCCGTCATGTCCACAGGATGCAACAGAAGCAGGTCCTATCTTGATTTTACTTACAAACAATTCAACTTTTTTGCTGTTCCTTGTCAGCAGAAGACTGAACACACTTTTTTTCACATGCAAGTTTTCACACACGGGAATATTGGAAGGTGTTTGAAATACCTAATATATGAAGTGCAACCAGAATGAGATACATCCAGCTCTGAACATCTTTTTTTGTGTGTCCTAGGTCTTAGGTCACACTGTTCAGTGTCACTGTTGAGCTGCCCACATGAGTTACTAAAGGAGACACACACACTTGACTTTGCTGATGATTTAGATCAAGTCTGCATTTTTCATTCACATTCATTTACAGCTGTTTTCATAGAAACAAGTCATGTAGCCATAATACATATATATATATATTTATATAGTCACTTTATCTTATCACTTATCTCTCTCTCTCTCTCTCCCTTTTGTGAGGAAGTGAAGAACAGGTTCCAGGTCTAAGTAAAATCTTGAACCATGTGCTACTTAAAATGTACCTGAGGTGCACTGAATGATTGAGTTTGTTTTCATGTTAATAGATAGTGTTGGGCAGTTTTTTTTCTGATGCTGGCATTATAGGCCCTTTTCCAACCTTCTCCAAAAAAGATGCTAAACCCTGATGTTAGTCGTCTCTATTCACCGCCCAGACCAAGAACATAAAAAACCTTCCCCTCAGACATCTCACTCGGCCCGGCCACAGGCTGCGATCTCAGGTCCCCTCACCTCAGCCACCAGTCCTGATCAATGTTACTCTCAGACAAGTGACCTGATCTCTAACAATCCATTTCACTTACCTGGAGCAGCTGTGCTGAAAAGTGTGTGTGTGTCTGTGTGTGTGTTTCTTCACACATTCTCGCCTGTGCAGTCTTTCCTCACCTCATTGTGGGGGTTCATGAACTGGATGCAGTCAGATTCTCAAGCCAAAGTATTCATATTTATTATAGGCTGTTCACAAGAACACATTAAAAATAAAGATGTAAAGATTCAGGTTTCTGTGTTTTGTTTAACAGGTCACATTGAGATGTAAGAATTAAAAATCATCCCCTTCAATCAATCAAATGTATTTATATAGCACGGTATCACAACAAACAGTAGTCTCAGGGTGCTGCACAAAAGTCCAAGATCTTAAGAAACATAAAATCCAACTTGTTCCACACTGAGCCAGCATGAGCAACAGCGGGGAGGAAAAACTCCCAAGTGGAAGAAACCTCCGGCAGAACTGGGCTCGGTGTGGACGGCCTCTGCCAGGACCGGTTGGGGTGATAGAGAAAGAACAAGTAATATAGGGGAACAAAAGGAAATAAAAGGGGGGGGTTGAATTGTTTTTCAACCACTGTAACTGTGACCAAATGACTAATGTTTCTACCCAGACACATTACCTTACCTCCTCTGCCCCTCACCCTCAGCAAGAGTGAGGAAAAATTGACAAAAAAACACTATTAACAGATCATGGATCTGCAATGATAAAGCACAAGGTCTCCAAGAAGAAGTCAGTAAAGTGAATTGATGAGACATTAATGTGATGAAGAGGAAGAGGAAAGACAAGCTCTTTGTGTAACATGTCCCCCAACAATCTAGAACTATATCATAATAACTAAGAGCTGGTTCAAGACAGCCTGAGCTCTAAATTTAAGTTTTGTCCAAAAGGATGGTTGTAAGGCTACTGGAACAGCAGTCAACAGACTCAACTCTGGGTTGTTCATCAGAATCAAAAACCCATCCATCATTTGAGAAATACAACTGTACCTCAGTGAGACAGAATCCCGGCCTGTGACTTTTCACTGATGTCAAGAAATATACATCTGATTCAGGAAAATATGTGAAAGACGATTCAAGTATTTTGACACCTGAGTGTTGACACCTGTTGGTCAATGCACTGCTGTAACACTTACAGGTTCAAGAATCAGTGGAGGCTGCAGAGAGGTTTTTTTTTAAGTAATTTGTCCTGAGGGAGGACAGACAAGCTAAATGAAACCAGTTGATGCAAGTCATCACTGATTTCACCTCAGACAGATTACTGTGTTGTCTCTTTAGCTTTTAAGTAAAGGTAAAATCAGAGTAAAAGTAAAATTGGAATCATTCCTCTTGGACCTAACTGCTGACTATGTGGCACCTCTTTTAACCTATTTGTTTCCTTAGTTTCAAATAAAATTCCTTTTTTACTTGAAAAATCATTCATCGTGCAAATTACTGCCAGTTTTAAGATGATGTGAGCTTTGAGGAGAATCTGGGAACAAGGTCACGCCCCTGAAATCTAACCTTTTGTGCTGCAAAACCAGATGGAGAATGAATCACTGAGGTTATTATGTACTTCAGGTATACTCTAAACATAAAAAACAAAACTTCAATAACTTTAATGAAAAATTTAGCACTTGACAGAAGGGGAACATTCAAACTCAAGAGTAAGAAAGGTCCTTCTGCACACTGAAAACTAGTGCAGCTTCCACACTGTGCTTATTTCCATTGTATATATATGTTGTAACTTGATCCAACATGCAACTTTAATGATTGAGCTGCTCTTGCTACAGGCGATACTGTTTGTGTCCTCATACAGTAGCTCAGGAGCGCTGAAAGAAAACTAGCTGCTTTACTGATGTCAGTCAATGTGCACCGACTGGGAGAGAACCTTATATTTCAATGGTGCACTTGACTGTCTGAGTAAAGACAACTGCAAATGTGATTAATCTCACTACTGTTGTGAACGTTTCCTGGACGCTGGTGAAAGGAGAACTCAGGCAGCAGCTGATGTCTTATGCAGAAGATTTTAATGTAGACTTGAAGCATCAAGGAGACCAGAAGGTGGAACAATAAACAAACACTAACAGAGTAACATGAGACATTGTCAAGTCTGAAGATGTCTCCCAGAGCATCCCCATATCTTCCTCTACTTGCATCACCCATTCTAACAGCACATCCATGAATAGCTAGAATTGCTGTCACTCTCTATGTTACATGAAGGTGTTTGCATCCTATTGGATACTGGTGTAATACGCAAATGAGTTGAGGTTGGTGAGAGTTGAAGTTGGTGTCTCTCTGTGTGGGACATCTGAGTTAGATTTGAATGTCTCTAAGCGTAGACACTACAATGCACTGATGGTTGGTCCTTTATCTATAACCTGACCGTGTATACTGCTTAGAGAGAGAAGGGAGTATCTGTGGGATTAGTCAGGCACTCTTCTCTTAATGGTGTACAGATATAATGTGATATACATTTTTAACATAATACAGTATATAGTGGCATATACAGTAATGTGTGAAGATATATATGAAAATTCCTCAACAACTACTATGACTGTGTATTGTGTAGTGGTCAGTGACAGAGAATCTGTAAGAGACCTGGATGTAAATGAAAAAGGGGTCAGGGTTCATTCCTGCTGTCGAGAGTCAGGCACTCGATCCTCTCAGGTATCCCTCTATTGGGACACTGAGCCAACAAAGAAATGTAGATCCCTGTTAAGGCACAGACATATCAGTGGCACAGCTAGCACTAAACATCATATACAACATATTGAAAATGTTATGGATGAATAAATGGTCAAAAAGAGTTATATCAATTGGCAGTATATCAAAATAGTGATGGGCTAAGTTAAGCTAATGTTAGCTTCTTTCATACAGCTGCCAGCAAGCCGGTGAGGTCTGTTCATGATGGGTCAAAAGAAAATATCACACAATCGTCCAAATGTGAAAAGCTGCACATTGTTGTGATGCATATGTAGCAGTCATAACCAGGATTATTTCCACAAACCTCATTCAGAGCCTCACACAACACCAACAACACCAAGCATGTTCCGATCAGGAAGCATAAACTCATCTTGGTCCCTAGCTCACGAGGTGAAAGGAGGGCTAGGTTTGCAGGTAGAAACAGTGGTTCCAAGCTTTATTTAAAATAACAAGGGGTCGGATGCAAAAAAAATATTACAATTAAAAGTTACAGTGTATTGACCCAACTCTACAAAGCAGTGATGGGGACAGGGTGCAGCAGCTTCTAAATATCTTTCTCAGATGCCCTGTAGCATGACTAACATAGATGTAAATGTCATGCATCACTCTAAGTGTGAGTGATGCATGTTTATAGCAAATCTATGGAGCAACATAAACAGAGTTGAAGTATGCTAAAAGTGTGACATCAATACACCAACAATGTCTTATTCCAGCCTTCATCCTGGTCGAGCACTGCAGCAGGAAACATATTTAGAATGTATGAGATCACATACAGCTTTGCATATGGACAGAAGAAGCAGGTGGCCACTATTAAAAGAGGATCCTTGACCTGACATGTTCTCACGCTGTGTGTTTGGGCGGGTGGCGGGAGGGGGGGGTTACAGGGTGAGTGCACACAAACAGAAGCTCCTTACTACTATGTAGGTGGCCTCGGGATGACAGCATGAGTTTGGCGAGGACAGAGGGACAACATCTACATACCCGCTACCGTGAACGGCCCGGCTCCGGCTACAGACGAGGTTTTCATCCTGTTCACTTCCTTTTCATGTGTGGAACCTGACCCCAGCCAATCAGCCCACGCCATCATTTTGGTTTAATTAATCTTGGAGCTGGAGGCATGCTGAGGTCTGCTCTGCAGCAGAGTGTGGCTGTACAGGCTCAGGTTGCATTGTCCTTTATTCCCACTGACAGTGTGTCTGCACTGGGTAAAGCACAGCCCCCTGTGAAAACGTCCACTCCATCATGGTACATGTGGGGGCTTCTTCAGATGCAACCCATGCAGCTCTCTCAACGTCACTAAATTCATGTCAGAAAGATTCCTTCAGTCTCTAATGTCACATTGAGGTGAACAACAGAGGAATATTTGCTACTAACCTGAATGTAAAGTTTTAACCTTAGTATGTAAAGTTTCTTGAGATAATGTATGTTATATTTGGCACTAGACAAATACATTTGAATTGAATTTAACATAGTCACTCTGTAGTTTAGAGGAGTAGAGGTGCAACAGTTCCCACAATCGTTTCTTGGTTTGAACCAACCAATATTTTAAGGGTTTACCACAGGTGTTTCTGTGTGGTTATATATCTTTGTATATCTACTCTATGGAATGACAAGCCTGCTTATGAGAATTTGAGAAATTATGAGAATTATGAGAATCATGGAAATTATCCTAAATTACAAAATAACCAACACCATAAATAAATGAGGAAAACAGCCATTTTAATGTACACTATATGTACTTAATTAAAGGAAGAAAAAATACAGCCTCATGTTCACTATCACACCCATCTTTGTCTCTTTTACATATCATAGCAGTAACCACAGGGATCTGTAGGATTATGTATTATTTCTCATAATACCATTGACACACTATGTGGCAGGATTTCCAAATTCTGTAGTACCCACATCACATCCTATCATGGCTTGCAGGCCAAATCCACAGTAACACCTTTTCATTTTAAAATGCCTTTTTACAATGAAATAATACTTCCAGATGAGTGTTTTAGCTCCATATCAGAAATAATCTCGATCCCACTTACACCTTTAAACACATTATCATTCTGGTAATGCACATGCTGGTGGAAATTGACAGTAAAGAGCAGATTGTCCACTCTGAGGTCAGTTTCCCTCACCCTAAGGGGCGGCTGTGGGTCACCCTGTAACCAGAAGGTTGAAACTGAACCCCAAATTATCCCTGACGGCTGTGCCATTCTCCAAGAAAAAGTGCTGCCCATTGATGCACTTTATGAATGTGTGAATGGAACAAAGTAGTGTGAAGTGCTATGAGTGGTCACCAAGACTAGAAAAGTGTTTTATAAATACAGACCATTTATCATTTACATCTTCATAAGGGATACATTGATGGACACATGCCTCCATCTTTACAGCAGCTATGTTGGAGTCAGGTTTGGTCCATTTCTTGAAGAGGCACAACTCATCATTCTAACACCCAGGGTCATGACCTTTTCAACACCATGTATTTTTGTCCAGTCAGGCGACTCTCTCTCTCTCTCTCTCTCAGACACACACACACAAACACACACACA